CTTCACCGGATCCCACAAATTCTGTTCAATTGACGGTACAAAACTATCTGCTTTAGTATACTGGCCAAATTCAGTGGTGGTGAATGAGGTAGAGTAAGACTTATGCATCTCCACCACCTGAGTAGCCTCAGAGGCTTCACCATTATCATCTTCGTCATCCGGCTCATCAATCATTACTTCCTCAAACTCTTCTTCTTCGTCGTTATCATCGAAGACATATGTACGATCATTAGCACACATTTCTTCATATTCCCGAATTGGGCATTGTTGCATTAGTGGTTGATAGACATCAACTTGTTCACCCAACTCAATTCCCCCCTCACCCATTTCAAAATTTTGACTTAGTGAATTGTTGACTGAGTTCCCACATTATATCGTGGTTCTAGTTTTTTGTTGGGTGTAAAAGTACTGCCCAGACTCATCCATTACTTGCATCCCAACGGAAGTTGAACATTCACCCATCACAGCAGAAGTTAGAAATGACAATGGACCCATCTCTCACCTAAGCAACTCAGTGTAAGACATGACAGTTGTGGTTATGCACCCTCCGGTCTAACTATTGCCTATGCCAGCATTGATGTCCTCCATCTCAACGTACAAAGCAACACTAACAATGCTAGGGTTGTCAAGTACCACATTAACCATTGATGTCACTAGTTCATTGTTGACAATTTCCAGACCGACATGTGTATTTATGTTTGGTCCTGGTCCTGTTCCAACTGTAAAAGGATATGTACATGTCAACTTCAATTGTTATGCGCCCTGTCCAACCCCATTACAGTATAAATTTTACTCAATAACTCCGACAGTTGTGTACCATTATTGATAACAATACCACCTTTGGGAGAACAACTGTATGATAAACCCTCTGAGTCATAACTCATTTGTCCACCCCAATATAGCAAAACGGTAACTTGTTTCCCCGCCATTTCAATTAGTTTCAGATGTAGAATAAGTTTTTAATTCAGAAGAACCTGAGAATAGATAGAAACTATCAATTAGAAAACTTACAAGGATGAAGTGTACTTGTATGATACTTAGAAAGATGAAGATACAACTTTTATATGGAAGTTTGAATAAATAATCCCCACCAGAGGGTATCTCCTTAGATGTTATCATGTATTGAATCAGAAGTGAAACATGTTATCAAGAAGCCAAACAATGTAGACAATTTTTTTGGCTAACAAGACAGTAATTGAACAACATTGACAACTTTATCAAAATTATCAGGACTATCCAACTCAAGGATGACAATACTGTAGTTACTTTGAGTGATTCAAAATCAACATGCTTATTTTGAAGTAAATGTGGTGTTTGATGTCTAAGAGAAATAAATACTGAACTTCGATTAAGATTGAGAGAGACAGACATGGAATAGAAAACCTACATAATGTTTGAGTGTAATTCTCTCTACAAATTACTCATGTTTATACTTGACGCCCAATCACAATTAACCTTTTGGAAAGAGTAATCATGTCTTAGCCTGGAACTTCAATTATGTTAGGAGTGTAGACGATACAACATGAGTTGCTATTGTAATCCTAAATATGGGCTACCATACTAAAAAGGGAAAATAATTATAGGAACCAACATAATGAAAAACCAACTCAATCACCATCTACCATACTAGTTGATGCCAAAAATTCAAATTCTTCAAAATATAACCTCCCCCAAACACAAAAATGGAAAACCATCTAAGCACTTTACAAATAAGTGATTTATAATTCAGGAATGTCAAAACACTGCTCAAAATTACAAATAAGTGATTTGGAACCTCAAAATAACAACTCCCTCTGGAGTTTCTCTAATTATAGTAGTTCGAATTGGTTGGGTAGTCCTACAGATGAGCTTTGCAGACATTTTCTAAGGACAATTATCTTGCCACTAAGGCGGGTACTCAATAACTCTTCGACCACCCACCATTGATGCTTCTTGATTTACCAAAGCCACATTTCAAAGGTAGAGAGAGACTAATTACCAGAGTTTTTTTGATTTTCTGTTTGTTATTGTGTAAATTTCCTGTCAATGTTGATTAGCATTGGAATGTAACTCTTGGATAAGTCAAATCCCTTTTTTTATCAGATATATCAAACCCAGATTGTCTTATTGTCTTATTGTCTTATGTTGGTGTTCCTAGTTAATCATGAATTACTTATATATTTCTTGATTTTTCGAAAAATACTAATGTGGGCAATATGCTTCTTAATTCTTAAAGAGTACTGCAATAATTCAATTTCTCTCATTTTTTGAGTTTTTCCTAGCCAAAACTATTGGTTATAGAATCACAAACCCAAAAAAAGGAATCTCATAGAGAACAATACATGAGAATTATAATAATTCAGAACCCCCAATTCTTCATAGAGGCATTAGTGTTTCTATTAGCATCATTTAGTCATGGCTACAGTTTGTATAAAGTTCTGAGGTATCATTTCATAGCATTCAATCATTCTAAAAAGTATGAGAAATCAAATGCATGCTTTAGAAACAATAACCCAAGCTAAATTGGTATTCATCAAGAAGCAAGAGGAACCATTCAAGTCAATCACTAAAGCTCATGGAAAAAAGTAAAACAAAAACTATCATTTTATTAATGAATATTTATCAAACGAACGTGAATAATAGAGCTTGCCCAAAACAATTGTTAGAATCAAAATGTGGTACCTGCCCAAAACAATTGTTGGGATGCACACCCATGCAACCTCATAAATTGCAAGTTAAAAATAACCCAGAAAATGTAAAAGCTGAAAAGTAGGGAACAAAAAGACTTGGATCATTTTATTTTCTAAAGAAGAATTGAGATTAAGAAAAAAATTAAAACAATAGATATAATTGATCATTGTCATGTTTAATGGATGTATTTGATGGATTAGGATAAACCTGAATGTATTTGATGGAATGTAGCACATAAATCGGTTCAATCCTTTGTTTATAAGCAATTAAAATATCAACTTTAGCTTATTGACTACTCGTGCATAAATCGGTTCAATTCATTGCTTTTAGCTTATTGACTATTAAAATGAAATCATTTTAATGACAATTTTTCTGATCCCTGAATTTGTTCCTGTAGATGAATTATTTGATCAGCATTCTTCTAGTCATTAGAGTTTTTTTAAACTTGACAGTTGCTTCTATTTATATTGAAATAGCAATGAACATATACCATTTGGCTAAGTTTAATGAAAGTTTGCAGTTCACTAAGACTCGAAACTTCCATGACTGTGAAACTCCCAATGCGTATTACATTGAGAAACATTAGCTGCAGAACCATTAAACTGATGTTGGGCTCAATTTTATTGATGTAGTTTGATTTTTTTTCACTTTTATGGCAGATTTGTGCATTTTGTAAGCACCCCCGAAATTCTCGACAGGTTTCTAAGAATTGAAAGAGAGATTTTGCATCCATTTCAACGATTAGCAACCCATTTCAACAATTAACATCCATTTTCATACAATCAACAACCCATTTCATACAATCAACATCCCATTTCATACAATAATAAACCCTAACATCCAATTTAAAAACTATAAATCATCCATAAGAAGCTTTGAACCCAAACAACAAATAAACTAAATCAATAAAATGATTTGGTAAACAAATAAACTAAATCAATAACCCAAAAAGCTTTGAACCCAAACAACATACCCTTTAGCTTGCGATGCTAGTAGTGGGCTTCAATGCTGGGTGCTGCTAGGTGGTGCAGGGTGGTGTAGTGTGGTGCTGTTTCGGTGGTGGGTGGTGCTGCGATGGTGGGGGTGCTGCGATAGTGTAAGTGGGTGGTGCTGCGAAGGTGGGGGTGCAACGATGGTGTAGGGTGGTGGGTGGTGCTGCGATGGTGGGGGTGCAGCGATGGTGTAGGGTGGTGGGTGGTGGTCTTTCGGTGGTGGGTGGTGCTGTGATGCTGGGGGTGCAGCAGTGGTGTAGGATGCTGGGTGGTGGTCTTTCGGTGGTGGGTGGTGCTGCGATGCTGGGGGTGCTGCGATGGTGGGTGGTGGTCACCGGAGGTGCGCCTGAAGGAGGTCAGGGGTGGTGCTGCTGGGTCGCCTAATTGAAGGTAGGGCAAATAATTTGGGGAAAGAAAGTGTGATGGAGAAAGAAAGAAGAGGGAAAAAGAATAGGGAATCGGGTTCAAGCTAAAGATGTCAAACCGAATGACGTCTTTATAAAAGACGTCAAACCGAATGACGTTTTTAATGGTGGGCTGACCAAGTGGGCTAAACTATAGTATTGGGCTAACAAACGTCAAATGGACTGACGTTTTTAGGATAAAGACGTTAGTCCATTTGACGTCTTTATCCTAAAAACGTCAATTCGTTTGACGTTTTTAAAAATTGTCTGCATTTGGAAATTTCTTTCAAAACTACTCTTATTTGGGACCTTTTTTTTAAAAGTGCATGGGATAGGTCAAAAGCTCCAAAATTCAGCTAAGGCTACCATTACATATGCTACTAACACGTTATGAGGTATTTATCAAAAAAAAAAAAAAAACATGTTATGAGGTTAATTTCCTTTGTGAGTTATCAACTTTTTTGGCACTTCAACTATAACGTTTGTGTCAATCAAACTTCTAAACTATGTTTTATATCAATTTAGCCCCTTAAACTATGCAATCTGATTCAATGCGGCTCTTTCATCAAAATTCGCCATTAATTTGACGGAAATCTTTGGGTCCACCTCACGTGAGTCAAAGATTATGTTATAGTTCAGGGGTTACATGATGGGCACGTGAGAGTTTTTGTCAAAATTAACGGTGAATTTGGATGAAGGAGCCACATTGAGTTAGATTGTATAGTTCATTGGTTAAATTGACACAAAATATAGTTCATGAGCTTGATTGACACAAATGGTATAGTTAAAGGGACTAAATTGGTAATTAACTCTTTTACTAAACAACCTTCTTTTATATTACATTATAAGATTTTGCCCTTTAGCTCCGAAATAAGTAAGTGTTGCTAATGAATAAGTAAGTGACTTTCATAATCAGTAAGTCGAGCTACTAACGATGGGTGCTTGCATAATTCTTGAGACAGAACAGATAGGCCCATTTCCCGGGTTGCAGGTTTCTCATCCATAAACAGTTTGCTGGTTTTCCATTTATCAGGGAACTTTATTCTTCCGTCCAGATATACTGCTGTTAGAATAATCTAAGAAGTTATAAAGAATACCTGGATTTCATTTGCAGGGAAAATTCCTTAATTGGTCCAGTTTCCATAGCATATGAGCAGGTTTTTGCTCCATACCATGGCTGGACTATTAAGACTGCTGTCTCTACTGCATTATATACCCTTCCTTCACTTGCACGAGTCTTGAAGAAACTAAATGAAAGTGGTGAGTGGATACTATAACACTTGTCACGTGTATTGATGTTTGAAAGATGAGCTTGATTGCGGTACTATTTTTCAAAATTCATTTCTTTCTTTTTTTATTTTTTCAGAGGCCTCAGCAATGGTTCAGATGCAAAACTATGTAACGGCATCGGCTCCTGTCATACAATATATTGAGACCTTATTTCACTCAAGGGAATCAGGTGACGTGGTGCTAGGATTGGTATAATCAGCTATTACTCTCGTTTAAGTTCGTAATATGACCTGATGTTGGAGAACTTTAACTCAAGGTAATGCATGTAATAACCTCATGATGTGCAAGGTTAAACTGTTCTTATCATGTTTCCCTTTAATTTGTAGAACTTGACCATACAATGAACCACTTAAACTTATGGGAAGGCTTCTGTTAGATCATTCATTTGCACCTGATATGGATCAAATCATGTGAGTGTCTGCTGCATATCAACTATAATGTTGCATGTCTACTCGGATAACTTGCATCTAATGACTCATCGTAGTCACGGTTGCTCTGTTTTGTTCATCATGCCATGTTTTCTTCAAAGATATAACAAACTACACATCCAACATTTCACTGGGGAGGCTGCTATTTGATCATGTGAGTGGCAGTGTTAGGAGATGTCTGATTCCAACTGCAATTCCATGCAAATCTTGTCATTTCCTTTTTGTCTGTTTTTGTAGGTAAAGAAAGCCTTTATAGATTAACTAGTTATTGCATGTGCCTGAAAGCACAGAGTAATAAAAAATGGTAAATATTAAACATATTTGTATTCATATTCAAAATCAAATCACAAACATAGAGAAGAGATAAATGAATTTAAACATCGGTTTGTAGTGGGGGTGAGAGGTGGTGGGCGACAATGATGGTGGTAGGAGACGGCGATGGTTGTGGTGGGTGACAATAATCGTTGTGGCGGTGAGAGCGACGGTGATGGTGGTAGTACAGGCGGTGGCGGCGATGGTGGTGGTGATGGCGGTGGTGGTGGGGGTGGCCGTGGCGGCGATGGTGGTGGCAGTGGTGGTGGTGGTAGAGATAGTGGTGGGACGGTTTCAAACACTATTTTTTTTTAAAAGTATTTATGAGAAATAATTTCTATAACTACTTTGAAAAAGTCACTCGAAACACATCCCTAGGACCAATTTTTCTATTAAATTTAGGGTGTTAATTTTAACCGTTAGATTAACTTTAAAGTAAAATTTAAAATGATCTCAACCGCGAATAGTAAAAGTCATTTTATTTATCTTTTGAGATTTGAATTGTAAACTACTTTATTATATAGATGTGTAGAAAAATTTTGAAAATTGGCCTGATGAAAGTAAATTTTTTTTTTTTTTCCTTTTTGCCTCTCAATCTGAGATCAATTTTTATACGAAAGGGAGATCATACAATCAATAAAGAAAGAAGGGAGATGACATAGAAACTTATACCATCTGAGAATCCATAAAATAGTAGTTTCAAAAAACGCTTTCTATGCTTAAAATGGTTTGTGGTGAAAGACAGTGGAAGAGTTGATCATATCAAATGCAAACATTCTGCCCTTTCAACCATTTGAGAACCTGAGAAAGTAATTACAGTTGTAAGATCTCTTTCAAGAAAAACCAATCCATTTATGAAGCTCATTAGCCACCGATGGTGATGGATTTATGTCTGGGCCCATTCTAAGCCCAAAATCCCTTGAAGGCCCAACTAAGACGACCCAAGTCCCCTAGGAGGTGGTGCTCTCCATTGAGAGCTCAAAGTCATTTAGCCCAGGATAGATGCCTGCTCGGCATATACAAATGCAGCGGAAAGGGTCTGTTCGGGATGTGGAACTTGGCGAAGTGGATCTGCACGGGAAAATGGAGCTTGACAACGAATAGGCCCAAGGAGTCCTTGTCACGCCACGTGGGCAGGGAACAAAAGGACAATACCTGACAGCTCTAACAAACAAATATTCAGCAATAGTAGAGATACCTCATGTATTCCACTCTAGGCGTAATAGGTGCAAAAAATATTATGGTGCCAGGTTCAACCACAAGACAAGTGATGAGGAGACCATAGAATCAGTCAAAAAAGAAAACACCATGGAAACCCTAGTGGCAAGATGTATAAAATAGCCAACAATATTATTGTGTAAGGGAGGCAAACAAAAAAAAAAAAAAAAGACAGAGAGAGGCAACATAGGAAATATTGTAAAAGGCTCCCAACCAAACCTTCTGTAACTATCATCTTTTCCCCCAAGCAATAGTCTCCTTTACAGTGGATGTAGTCTTAATCCTTCGGCTAAGATGAACCACTCATATTTCTGCTTTCAACATCCCTTTTACACTCCACACACACTCACCCACCAGCACACTCCAAGACCCTCTGGGCCTCATCTCTTTGTTGTTTTGTAATCGGGTAAGAAGATTTTGAGCACCATCAACCACTAAGCTCAACTTGTAATGGTTCAAGCCTCGCTTGCAAAGAAAATGAGCTTTTAATTTAGGCACTTGGCTTGTCTTTTAGATGTTTATTTACTTTTTTTTCTCTATTCTAATTTTTATGTATTTACGATTTTTTATTAGTGTTATTTTTCTTACATTTGTGCGTGTGTGGGTGGGGTGGGTAGGGCATCGACTTGAACTTACATTGGAAACACGAGATATGGTAACGATTCCCGACAGAAGCCTTTAGGGGCTGTTTGGCAAGTGGGATTGGGGGGGGGGGGAGGGGATTTGGAAGATGGGCTGGGGAAAAATAGTCCAAATGACACACATAACCCATGTTTGGTCAAAATTTGAAGCCTGGGTTACCAAGCCCAACCCACTATTGGTCCGGACCTTAAATCCCAGATCATGAGTTTCATCAAACCCACGCCCGGGGGGGTTTTCGGATGAAAGTTAACGGGTTTAGGATACAAAAAGACAATTATACCACATACGTATACAAACATAGGTTTGGATTATATTGATGAACGGGTAAAATAATCATTTATATACAAATATATTATCATAATATTGATATATCCGTGGGCATACTAATCATAGGTAAGAACTGGATTCAATGTTGAATCTCATCTTTCTAAAGAGGGGTTTGAGTTTGGAAGGGTTTGGGGAAACGAATCCAAACTCTTCCAAAAAATTCATCCAAACAAGCCCTTAGAGCAACGGAATTGAATTTTTAAATAATTTGGGACCAAAGTAAAATTTTGAAAAATTTTAAAACTTTCTAGAACCTTGCCCTTGCTGAAATTTTCATAAAATATAGTAAAGCCTGACCACCCCCCTCCCCCTCCCCTTCCGCTCCCCAAAGCAGCATCAGTATTTACCTTTACCCAATCATCTTATGGGGCAACTCACCTCGAAGCCACAACTTACTTGGCATTTATTCCTTTTGTCCTTGTATCTGGGGGGAGAGAGAGAGAGAGATTGTCAAATACCAAGTAGCCTTTTGAGGCCTGTTTATTGTTCCCAATGGATGAAAAGCCATGCTTTCTAAGTAATATTGCCTTTATTTGGGTAAATATTGAATTGATAGCCAAACCAGAGTTCCTAATTTTATAACAGTAAGATTAATCCCTAATTGATGTTAAAAATTGATGCAAGAAAGTGATACACCAAAGCCATACACTAATAAGGTGTATCACAAAAAATAAAAAAAATTTATAATTTCAAACAAAAATTAGGGCTTTGTATTTTCTGTTTTGATGTTTTTCAATCAATATATATATATATATATATAGATAAATGCTTACCATTAACCGTCTGAGATCTCACAATGACACCGACATATGGATATTGAGCCACAGATTTCGACGACCAGTAATGCAAAAAGTCGAATCGTTATCGAAATCCTTTATGTTCCTTGTCTAAAACAAATTCGGCTTTGGAAGATAAGAACTGTGAAACTTCTTTCGAAATCAATGCTATAATATTTCCAAGAAAATATGAAGAATGTGGAATAAAACCGCTAAATTTTTGGGTGTATCTATCTAGATTTTGGAGGTTTCATGAGAACCGGAGCATTCAATCCGGATTGTGATGTAATTGTTTCCAAAATCCGATTTTTGCAAGAGTTACTATTACAGAATGGGTTTTTGGTCTTTTCCCATCAAAATGCACTTATGGCCAATAAGTTTTCATTAGAACCCTTTTACTCAAATAAGTCTAAATTTGTGTATCCGCTTCTGTTTTTCCCTTGAATCAAACTTAAAATTGTTATTTTTGTTTATTCACTCCAAAAGTTTTTATAATTATTCTAAAATATTTCTTGGTCTCGTTTTAACACAATGCACGATCTCGATACAAGATAAAACCAAAGACATGGGATAGAATACAACATACTTTTGTCTTTCAATCTCTCTGTAAAAAGTGTCCTTTTGATTATCTTAAATATGTATTCCTGTTTGGTATTTTCTATTGATATGAAATTCTGTAAGTTTTGTTGATTTGACCTACATTTGAGGCTAAATAATTTGGGACTCACAGACACATGTACGAAGTGTACTTGAGGCCTATTTTGTGAAATGTGATTGTGGGCCTGAGGGGTATGATGAATTGGTATGAATATGAATTTATTTGCCCTGGAGGAATTTACGGAATAAGATTTGATAACTTTGATGAATGGGGAGTTAGCTTTTGAGAGTTAAAAACTCTTTTTGATATGAAAGCAATAGAGTTGGGATTTCTCCTCAATGCACTACAATAAAAAGCATTTTTTGCGACGATTTTTTTCGTTGCCAAATTAAAAAAAATCGTCACCATTTAAATTCTGCGACGAATATAAAAATGTCGCAAAATAATAATTTTAATTAATACAAAAATAAAATTTATATGCTGCGACGAATATATAAAAATGTCGTAAAAAGTATTATCAAAATAAATATTCTCGACAAACTTAAAAAAAGTCGTAAATTAATATTTTTATTTTATTTTTACATTAATTTTGGTTTAAAACTAAATTTATATTCTGCGACAAAAAATTAAATGTCGCGAATTAAATATTTAGACTTTATTTTACTTCATATTTTAGATTATTTATTTTTGCGCCGATTTAAAACTATCTGCGATGAAAATTTTTTGTCGTAAAAAATTGTCAATTCCTGCCATTTCTTCCGCCAACAAAAATTAGGAGGGAATTGCCTTTTCGCGATGCACTTAAAAAAACGTCCCAACAAAAAAAATTGCCAAAATAGAAATTTGCGACAAATTTATAAAGTAAACTTTTTGCGACAAATTTAAAAT